GGCTCGAATTTTATACTAGTAGGAAACTACACGGCGCCATGCCTGTTGGCGCCGGCATTCTGCTGGCGCTAAATGGCACCTGAACTGAAGCATCAATCGCACATTCGTGACCTCAATGCTAAATAACTATATTATGCAGGTTTATATCGATTCTGATGAATATGGCGATTAGGCGAAGCCGCCGACGGCTTTACTTCAGGGCACATCGTTTTTGGAGAATTCCAAAGGAGGGGGGGCAGTCGTATGTGGCCGCTAACGACGACGGGTCCGTATTTGGGCTACGAAAAATTCATTTTTATAGTCGATTTTTCTCGCTTCACGTTGTAAGGGGAGGGGGGTCGTATTTGGTCATTGTTGGGAGAGGGGGTCGAATTTACGTTATATAGCGTTGTAGGAAGTGGTGTTGATTTTTGTGATTTGTCCTGTTTTCTATGGCCACTATATCACCCCCCCTGGCTCGACAGTCAACAATTTTGGCGGGAAATTAGGAAACTTTCTGGGAAATTTTTGGAAAAAATGGCAGGGAAGTTGGGGATGTCGTATTGTACGCGCGATCTTTTTCGTTTCACATTGTCTATTTACCCCCTTCCCCCATTCTCCCCCCCCCGCTCCCTCACCGTGTTCGTTCGTTTTGGGGGGGGGGTCCGATCTAGAAATATACTGATCATTGTTACTATGTACCACCCTCCCCACGACAGCTCGATGAGGAGGAACCAGCGAATTCGTACCAACCCCCCCCTCAGAAAAAAGGTGGGGGTGGGGTTAGTACAGACTCGACTAAAATTCCCAACCAATGATGCGCCCTGCTTTACTTCGCTGCAAAATGGCGTTGGCTCTTCGAATGAATGTCATATTCGTAACGCAGAATGTCAAAGCACTCCGGTATGCAGGTCTATGGTCGATTCGGGTAAGACATGGTGGAGCAAGTTCGGCGCCTATTGTCCAGCTACATGGCGTTGGTCCTCAACACGATGTCAATACTCGCCATCGGTTCCCGTGTAGTTAATGGTTCTCTTGCTGAACAAGCTTTTTTGAAGGCTTTCAGGAACACAAGAGAACGCTGACATGCAACGGCATTTCTGTTGAGCCATAGACTTCCTCCACTTACTCGTTTCAAAACCAGTTTTGAGGAATTTGTGCGGAAGCAGCGTATCTTGGCCATGTATTAGAGAGGCACTATCACGAAGTAGTATTCTCGCCCAAACAAAGTTTCCAAGGAAAAAGTTGATATTTCCAAGGCTATTACGGTCAAATGATGACAACTTTTTTATTCTTTATTCATCACTGTGAAAAGGGTGACCCAGAAATCAAATATGCCACTCAAATGCAACAGCATGGAAAAACGCTTCGCAAACAGATAGTTTTCCAGCTGAATGTGCCACGCAATAGATGATCCCATATTCCCATTTCTTTACTCCAATTAATGACATCTTACAATCACAACTTTTAGTAACGAGAAATCATGACACCAGAAAAATCTTTATTTAGTGACCCCGAATAACGAACAAGACAAGTGCATCGTGGTCGATTTGTTCTGTGTTCCATATGTAGGGCCGATCGGCCGCAACCATACTCAGAGAAGGTGAGCGCAAATTCGTGGATGTTAAGCAGACTTCACTTCACCTAGGGTGGGGATAATGTGACGAGAAAAAAAACCTGTACTATATTTACAAATTACTGCAGTTTTCGAAGCTCAGTCAGAACTTCGACTTGTCTGCAAATTGGTCTCAAGGGGTAGTTTGACCTCTTGAATACGAATATAGCATTCGCTTAGCCGGAAACCATCTAGCGCCCGCAGCGCAGACGTCGGCGCCGAAAGTACTGTAAGTAGTAAAACTATGTCATCAAACTTGCTGAAAACTTGTCTACAGGGAGCAGTCTGATCTCCTGACGAGTGTACAAATACCATATCATTCGGTCTGTAGGCGCCCAACACGTGCGCCACAATCGAATACACAACACGCTTGTTTAGACTCCGGTGCGTGTAGCACGGACTCAGCCGGCTCCCGGCTCCAAGGGGGGGGGGCTCGCAAAAGACAGGGCAGAACATCGCGACAGTACCAAAGCAGCCACCCATTTCTTCACTTTACTAGGACTTCAGCCTTTATCCTTATATGGGATCACTATCTCTGCGAACTAGCGTTGTGGACGAGCAGATAAGGTAGTGCTATCCTTCCGTAACCTCAAATTTCCTGGCGCCCTATGCCTATATACTCGTGCTCTAGAGGTCAAACTGCCCTCGAAACGGAACTTGATGATTTACGGTATTTTGGTGGCGGGACCAGTGGTGCGAACTACAAGCGATTTCGGATCAAGTTATGGAAGGTCCGACTACTCCGGAGACAAGTTTCTAGCCAAATCTGCTCTCTTAGAAAAACATACAGCCCTTAAGGACAAAAAATTTTCAGCCAAATTTGCCCTCCCAGACGAGAAGCCCGTAGATGATTTGATCCTGTCGAAAATCCCAACTACCACACCCCCTCCGTCATACTTCTAATCGGCAGATTCTGCTACACGTAAGTGAAGGAGTAATAAAAAAGACTTCGCTCATGGAACGTAACCTTACACCTTACCTCGCAAAGAAAGGGTGAATAGGCAATGTAGACACTCACATCGGACTCACCAGTACAAAGCTAAATGTAAAAACTTTGTATGAGTAGAGCGGATTCGGCACCAAGTAACTTTGGAAGCACAGTCGAGGCCACTAAGCGTATGAGGGTTGGTACTCGGGTTTGCACATTTGTTCCGAAGCCAGCTGAGTGTCAACATCCTTGAGACCTTGATTTTTAGTCCAAACCAAAAAGACTTTTTTGCGACCAGTTAGCAAAGCCGAATACTTTGTGATAATAGTAAACCAAGCGCTGTTTGGCTCCTTCACAAAGCAGAGCCGCAAACCTACCCAAAGCCTCACCAGAGCAAAAATCTTTTTTAGTTTTGGTGGAATATGACCTATCCACTATGAATTGCTGGAGGCAGGACTGCCGTACTTCCTGTTCACATCGATCAACTTCAGCAAATGCTCGGCGCACTTCGAAAAAAAAATATCGCGACGATCCAAGGTGTGTCTACCACCCTCCGAGACGGGTCCAAATACCGCCCTGAACACACCTTGGGACAGCCGTCATAAATCACGGGGCTCGGCTGACGTCCGCTTGTTTACCCATGATGCTCGCCAAGCCCTACGCTTATGATCCAGTCATCTTGTGCGAGGAAACAAAATTAAAACGTATTATGAATCAAAATGGAAGTCAGTAAAATTTTTGAGCCAGAACTCCCTTATTCCTTACGAAATTCAACTATAGGATGCCCACACAAGGTAGAGAATGGTTATTGGTCACTTCAATGAATACACTCCTTATCCCTGAGCCAGAGTAGGCGTGGCATTTGAACATGGCACGAAATTGGTTACTCGTGGAATTTTAGTCTGGGACAACTGTCATCTTGTTCTGTGTTGGACAGACACGACAACAGTTGTGTCAAGATGGAAATATTCCACCAGAAGCATAGACACCTCCAGGTTAAGTTGAAGAATGCAGCCACGCCTACACGATCTCAGGGATTTCGAGTATATATTGTTGAGACTGTTCCTTTCAGAAAAAAAATTTTACAACCTGCTGCTGCGTTTTCTACATTAGTTTCAAAAACTTGGTTATATAGAGCCGTGCTTATTCCATACGCAAGTGAAGCCCAAATTTTGACAGCATGAACTGTCCAAGCTTTCCGCATCGTAGAAACCGTCAATGTTGTTTCCTTCATAGTGGCCTTGCAGGGTAAGCAGTCGCTATGGTTGAACTACGAGTTGCCTTCTTCATCATAACCTACTACACAGTCCGCACTGTCTGTTAACTGTCTGACGTACTGCTATGCTGTGATATCTTTACGGGCTCTCTTCAGCCCGGTGTGGAGGAGTCTAACTCCTCAGAGAATTTCTCATCAAGTAGAATATAATTCTGAGCTTCAAGACGAGACGCGTACAGGGGTATGCTTCTCGGGAAACATGACTTCGGCGAAACCTTTCCTGGTAAGGCTCAATCTTTGTTTGAGTGGCGTACCTGGCAAGGGTAGAAACAAAAAAAAAATCAAAAAACACGCAATGTTCATACATGCAACGAAACTGTGAACCATATTCTATCATATCAGTTCGTTGGAACTATGGATGCTGAAGCATTTGGTGGAGGGGACCAGGCGAAACGCTGCTCTTCTACTCCTTCCTCGCCGAGACCGTATCCCATGCTCTTGATAGGCTCCACTAAGGGTTATTTCGAAGTAACTTCGTAATATCAGGGGTAGAACATGAACCTAAAACCGTCGCACAGGGGAGGGGATGTGGGCAATCCGGCAAGCTGAGACAGTTAACACGGAGGATCCATTGCTTTGTGCAAAATGATACTTCCAGTTGCCTTGTATGCTCCGCAGGACCTGAAAGTCCCCACTTACTCTGGTAGTGTCCTATCAGAACATACATTCAGAAGCTTAGCAGCACAAGCCACGCTTTTTAACAAATTCCTCAGAGTATATCTCAGGTATATGCACTTCACCTTTCTATTCAGGAATGATCAATTTACGGCTCGGATTATGCTGGAAACCCTTTATGAGTTCTTTTAGCGGCACGCTGCTCCTCTGCACTCTCTCGGCGAGAGAGTGCAGAGGAGCAGCGTGCCGCCTGATACACTCCCCTCCCCCCCTCCAAATACGGCAGCGCCAGGCTAAGTACCTGTACAAAGGCTTTCTATGCGTATTTCACACCTTACTATGTATTTATATCCGTTCGAAGATAGGAATCAAAACAGAGGCTTTTCGCAAAGCTGATCGAAAATGCAGATTCCGGAGTTATTTAAGGCGTGAAATGTGTGACTTTGTCTGCAGTACAGACAAAACAAGGAGAACAACTGCTAACATGTTTATTTATTTGCACGAAAAAGTCCTTGTTTCGCCCAGGACGTTTGTTTTGGATTTTACGCTTACTTATTTTGTATTTCTCTTGTTTTTCAGGTACAACAATGTCAGCAGAGCAGTTAAAAGCGCAATTCGAGGAAGCTTTACAGAAATATAAGGAAATAGAAGCTGGTTTGTTTCCAATTTTTCGATTTAAAGCAATCTTTCCTTTCACCTTGAATATTGAGCAACTCAGATCGTGAAAAATACATCAGTAATCGGCAACATCTGGAAAGTCAGTTGACCGAGAGCACGCTAGTCAAATCGGTGAGTTCATGCCATGATATGTCCCACATATGGTTCGAAAGTTGGTGGTGTTTTCGACTCATTATGTTTCCAATCTGGATTATTTAGGAATTCGATTTTTTGGATGAAGATGCTAAGGTGTACAAACTTATCGGTGCTTGCCTCATTCGACAAGATATTGCTGAGGCTCGAACGAATGTTGACAAGCGACTTGAATATATTAATGCTGAAATGTAAGTAATAATGCATTTTAACTCCCTTTGTTATTTTGCCGATTTGGAGGGTGGCTTTGTTTTTTCTTATTTTTGATTT